TCAGAGTGTGGAGCGCGTTGTCACTATTGCTAGGCAGAGTGACAACGCGCAGCATAGTGACAACTTTTTTCAATAAAAGGATTAACGCAGAAAGATTGAAAGTCTACTTACCTGTGCGTAGCCACTTTTGCCAAAAAAAGGAAGCGTTCCAGAGAGCTCATTTTCTCATCTGTCTCTGCGTGATCACTTTTATCAGTAAAAGTGATTGTTCCAGAGGAGCGTGTTTACCTTGATGCCTCTGTGTGATCACTTTTGTTAGTAAAAGTGATTGTTCCAGCAGAGATCCTCAAAATGCATTCTCTGCGTAGCTTCTTTTCTGCAACAAAGTGACTCCTTTCATTAATCAATTGCTTCGAAACTCTCAATTAACTCACTTCTCACACTCTAATCCATCAAATACACACTCTAAACATTGAATCTCAATTCAAGTATCCCAAATGTACCTCAGAAAATCAGATGCAACAGAATATTCACATACATTATGCAGAAATTTCAGAAAGTTGTAAAATCTGATTATGCAAAATTTTAAACCTTTAAATACACATTCACCACATCAATTCTCAATTTAAGTATCCAGATGCACCTCAGAAAACAAGCTCAACAATATTTTTGCAGAGTATTTGCAGAACAGCAGAAAATTACAAAACATGAATATGCAGAATTCTAAAAACACTATAGAAGGCTTAAAATGGGTTAGAAATGTGAGTTGCCTCTCACAAAGCGCTTCTTTAATGTCACTAGCTTGACATTAGTTGTTCCTCACTCAAGAGGAACCAATTTCAAGCATGTGATGTTCCTTGTAAATTCCTCTCCATGATAGATCTTCAATCTTTGGCCATTGACCTTGAACTTTCTCCCTGTTTTCTGATCTTCTATAAGAATTGCTCCAAAGGGAGAAGTCTCCTTAATAAAAAATTGTCCAGACCATCTAGATTTCAGTTTCCCTGGAAACAATTTTAATCTTGAATTGAATAACAGTACTTGCTGCCCAGGTCTGAAATCTTTTTGCAGAATGAACTTGTCATGGATTCTCTTTGTTCTCTCTTTATATAACTTTGCATTCTCATAAGCTTGTTGCCTGAATTCTTCTAACTCATGCAGCTGCAGAACTCTCTTCTTTCCAGTACTTGACAAATCAAAATTAAGCCACTTGGTAGTCCAATATGCTCTGTGTTCCAGCTCTAAGGGTAGATGACAGGCCTTTCCAAATACTAACTGGTAAGGAGACATACCAATTGGAGTTTTAAAAGCAGTCCTATATGCCCACAGTGAATCATCCAGCCTCTTTGACCAATCTTTCCTTGAGATGTTCACTACTTTCTATAGAATTTGTTTGATTTCTCTATTTGAAACCTCCACTTGTCCACTTGTTTATGGATGGTATGGAGTAGCAACCTTGTGCTTCACACCATATTTCATTAATACAGCTTTAAGATACTTGTTGTAGAAATGAGTACCTCCATCACTTATCAGCACTCTAGGCACACCAAATCTTGAAAAAATATTCTTTCTTATAAAAGAAATCACTACCTTTGCATCATTTAATCTGGTGGGAATAGCTTCTACCCATTTAGAAACATAATCCACTGCTACTAAGATGTATTCATGAGAAAATGATGGGGGAAAAGGTCCCATGAAATCAATCCCCCATACATCAAATAGCTCCACTTCTAGGATGTTGGTTAATGGCAGCTCATGTCTTCTTAAAATATTTCCAGTTCTTTGACATTTATCACAGTTTTCCACATACTTCTTGGCATTTTTAAAGAGTGTAGGCCAAAAGAAACCTGCTTGCAAGATTTTTGCAGCAGTCCTTGAACTTGTATGGTGGCCTCCATATTTTGAATTGTGACAATGCCATAGTATCTCAGCTTGCTCACTTTGTGGAATGCATCTTCTAAGTAACCCATCCACTCTAATTTTGAACAAATAAGGGTCTTCCCACACATAGAATTTGTTGTCATGTAAGAACTTCTTCTTTTGCTGCCAAGTAAACCTCTTTGGGATGAATTGAGTAGCTTTAAAATTTGTAATGTCAGTAAACCAAGGTATCTCTTCTACTGCAAGAAGCCTTTCATCTGGAAATTCTTCATTAATTTCCAATGAGTTAGGGGTCAGACTTTCCAATGGAAGTCTGGACAAGTGGTCAGCTACCCCATTTCCCTTTCCTTTCTTATCTCTAATTTCCAATTCAAATTCTTGCAGCAGTAAAATCCATCTCAGCAATCTTAGCTTGGCATCCTGCTTTGACAACAAGTATTTAAGTGCAGAATGGTCAGTATATACAATTACTTTTGAACCCATCAAATATGATCTGAATTTGTCAAAAGCAAACACAATAGCTAGGAGTTCTTTTTCTGTTGTTGTGTAATTTACTTGTGCAGGATTTAAAACTTTGCTAGAATAATAAATGACATGCAATTTCCTATCCTTTTTCTGTCCTAAAACAACACCTACTGCACTATCACTTGCATCACACATGAGTTCAAAAGGTAAATTCCAATCTAGTTTTGCAAGAATAGGTGCAAAAATCAGTTTTTCTTTCAAAATAGAAAATGCATGCAAACAAGCATCATCAAATATGAATTCAACATATTTTACAAGTAAATTACTAAGAGATTTTGCAATTTTAGAAAAGTCTTTGATAAACCTCTCATAAAAACCAGCATGTCCTAAAAAACTCCTAATTCCCTTAACATTGATAGGTGGAGGTAGTTTACTAATGACTTCTATCTTAGCTTGGTCCACCTCCATTCCTTTTTCTGAAATCTTATGGCCAAGAACAATGCCTTCTTGGACCATGAAATGACATTTCTCCCAATTCAAAACAAGGTTAGTATCTTGACATCTCTGCAAAACAATGGATAGATTAGCTAAACAATCATCAAATGAATCACCAAAAACAGAAAAATCATCCATAAACACTTCAATGATGTTTTCTACCAAATCAGAAAAAATAGCAAGCATACACCTTTGAAAGGTAGCAGGAGCATTGCATAATTCAAAAGGCATTCTTCTATATGCAAAGACTCCAAATGGACATGTAAATGCAGTCTTCTCTTGATCCAAAGGATCCACGACTATTTGGTTGTATCCTAAATAACCATCAAGGAAATAATAGAATGAATGTCCAGCAAGTCTCTCTAACATTTGATCTGCAAATGGTAGTGGAAAATGGTCCTTTTTAGTTGCATCATTTAACTTCCTATAGTCTATGCACATTCTCTAGCCAGTCACTGTCCTAGTAGGGATGAGTTCATTCTTTTCATTAGCTACAACAGTCATGCCCCCTTTCTTTGGGACAATTTGGACTGGACTCACCCAATTGCTGTCAGAAATTAGGTAGATTATTCCTGCATCTAGCAGCTTTATGACCTCTTTCTTGACTACTTCTTTCATGGCTAGATTCAACCTCCTTTGTGGCTGCATAACAGGCTTAAAATTCTCTTCAAATAAAATTCTGTGCTTACAAAATGAAGGATTTATACCTTTCAGATCTGCAATACTCCAGCCGATTGCAGATTTGTGTTCTCTTAAGATTCGCAGCAATTTTTCCTCTTGTTCTTCCTTGAGCTCATTGTTGATGATGACTGGATTCTCATGGTTCTCATCCAGAAATGCATACCGCAGGTGGGAGTGAAGTTGTTTCAGCTTTATCTTCTGTTTTTCCTCTTCTTTAACATCCTTTTTCAGTTCCTCCTTCACTGAAATTTTTGTAGGTTTTTGAATTGGTAGGGCTTCTAATCGTTGCTGCACTTCCATGATGTATTCCTCATTCAGAATTTCAGACTTGACATTCCCTGCAGATATTATTTCTTCTAACACAGTAGTTTCATCAAATTCGTTAATAGGGTGTTGTTTAATAAAAGCATCCAGTATATCTACCTTCATGCATGTATTATTTTCAACTAGATATTTTCAAGCTTCAAACACATTAAATACTACCTTCTCATCTTGAACTCCAAGCATAAGTTCCCCTTTTTGTACATCTATTAAAGCTCTCCCTGTTGCAAGGAAAGGTCTTCCTAATATCAAGGGAATATTAGCATCTACCTCCATGTCCAGAATTACAAAATCTGTAGGAAAAATGAACTTGTCAATTTTAACTAACAAATCTTCAACTACACCATAAGGATAAGTGTATGATCTATCAGCTAGCTGCAGTGTGATGTTGGTGGGTTTCACTTCTTCTATGCCAAGTTTCTTCAGAACAGCCGATGGCATCAAATTGATGCTTGCCTCTAAATCACATAATGCTCTTCCAACTGTGCAGTTTCCTATTTCACAAGGGATGCTGAATGATCCAGGATCTTTTAGCTTTTGAGGAAGCTTCCTCTTGAGGATTGCACTGCATTCTTCTGTCAAAGGTACAGTCTTATCATGCTCCAACTTCCTTTTTCTGGAAAGTAGCTCCTTCATGAACTTTGCATATGAAGGCATCTGCTATAATGCCTTTGCAAACGGTATATTAATCTGCAGTTTCTTTAAGACACTAAGAAACCTCTCAAATTGTTCTTCTTGCTTTGGATTTTGAGAGGATATGGTAGCCTCTTGTATTTTTCTAGGTCTATAGGCTTGTAAGCATCTTCAAAGAGTTATTTCTTTGTCTTCCTTTCAAAATGTGCAGGAGCTTCTACCTTTTTCTCTGCATTATCTCTCTTTAATAATTTGAAATTTCCCTGCTGCTGGTCTTGCTCAATTCTCCTTTCTACTGTTTCATCATTGTCTTTCTTTTCTGCAGCTTTTGGGCTTGCTACTACAGCACCACTTCTAGTAGTAATTGCTTGACATTGTTCCTTAGGATTGACCACTGTACTGTTAGGAAACCTTCCCTCTTCTTTGCTGGACAATTGCTCAGCCAACTGTCTAATTTGTGTTTCCAGCTTCTTCATATAAGCTTCTTGGTTCTTGAAGTTTGTTTGGGTCACCTTCATAAGTTACAATAATGTTTCTTCTATCCCATTCACCTTTTCACTCAAGGGTCTTACATTTGAGTACCCTTAATTTTTCTGAAACTGTGCAGAGGAATTCCCTTGGAAGTATTGCTGTTGCGGTTGAGGTATTGCACTTGGAAAAGGTGCAGAACTTGTATTTCCTCTTGCATTTGAATTTTGTAGATTCCATTTGTAAAATTGTTGCTGCCCTCTATTGTTATTAGACTGAAAACCAGGTGGATGTGGTTGTTGTGGCCTTTGGTAATTGTTCATATAATTGATTTGGTCAGCTTGTTCCATAGTTGTAGGATCACAATCTCCATTTGCATGGTTGCCACCACAGAAATCACAAATCAGTTGTGGAGTTGGCATACTACTAGTCTGCATGTTGCTAATTTGCTGAGTTAATGCAGCAATTTGTTCAGAAAATTGCAGTTTCTGCAACTGGTTTTGAACAAATAAAGCTTCTATGGATTTTGCATCATAGCCTTCTCTCATTGCAACTTGCCTTTCATTCATATGTTGATACATGGATGATGCCATCATTTCGATAATCTGCTGAGCTTCCTCCAATGTCTTTGAACTCAGTGATCCTCCAGCTGCTGCATTAATCATAGTTTTAGTTGCAGCAGTCATCCCATTGTAGAATGTTTCCAGCTGCATCCACTCAGGTATGCAGTGATGAGGACACTTCCTTAGTAGCTCTTTGTACCTTTCCCATGCCTCATATAATGGTTCTTCATCTTGCTGAACAAATGAAGTAATCTCCCCTATGATTTTTGCAGCTTTTGAAGGAGGAAAGTACTTAATCAGAAATTTGTTCACCAAATCTGTCCATGTAGAAATGCTACCCTGTGGTTGAGCTTGAAGCCAACACTTGGCTCTATCTCTCAAGGAGAAAGGGAACAATCTTAGTCTGATGGCTTTTTCACTGACCCCATTTATCCTGATTGTGTCACAAAGCTGTAAAAAATTTAAGATATGTAAGTTAGGGTCATCAGAATTTCCTCCTGAGAACTGATCCTGTTGAACTAAATGTAATAAGGCAGGTTTAATCTCAAAATGATTAGCTTGGATAGTTGGCCTGATTATAGAAGAATTAAAGCCTTGCAAATTAGGAATTGCATAATCCCCTAAGGTTCTATTCCTATTCTGGTCTGCCATTTCTGGTTCTGGTTCTGGTTGCCTCAAAGGTGTAATTATTCTTTTTACTTTAGGAGTGTTCTTATTCTTTGGAACTGGGACAACCTCTAATTCATTATCAGATTTTATGAAATTTTCCAGTCTAGTCTCTCTTCTAAGTCTTCTTAAGGTGATATCTATATCAGGATCAAATTAGAATTGATTTGTTTTTATTTCTACCTCGCATACACAATGAATACTATGAAACTAATAGGAAGAAAACAAAAAACTGAACTATCCTGCAGTATATAGACTATCTACTTCTAAAAGTATCAAATTGATCAGAAATCATAACTACACTAATGCAGAATTAGCTTATGACACTAACTGTAAATAGAAAATTCTAAATGTGATCTAACACTGCAGAAATTCAACTAAACAGAAATTACTCAATCTAACACTATAGAACTAGTAGGAAGAAAAATAGAAAACTGAATTGAATCACAGTATATATGCAAACTGACTATTGCTAACAATGCCAATTATGTCAGAATTAGAAATTCACAAATGCAAAAAACATAGAAATTATGCAGAAAATTGAAAAATGAAATTATGCAGAGAATGCAAAAGAATGCAAAAACTTTATGCAGAAGATAGCAAAAATTAGGTAGAAAATAGCACAAGATGCAGAAAAATTATGCAGAAAAATTTGAAAGCAAAACAACAAAAATAAATGCTCAATCTAGCCACTTTTTTGCTACTAATGATATTGAAATTCAAAATTCCCCGGCAACGGCGCCAAAAACTTGTTGTTCGTAATCTAAACACTAGCAAGTGCACTAGTATTGTAGCAAGTAATGAGTAATTTTTAAGATCAGAATATCGTCTCCACAGGAAATTTAGATTTCAAGTATCAATTCACAAAATTGTAACCATTTGAGCCATACGAAAATTGAATAAGATTTGTAACATTTAACAGCAGTAAACCAAACAATTAAGAGTAAAAGAAACTTGTAGGAAATAGATCAATGAATGCAATGTGGGATTAGAAATGGATTCAAAGGTAGTTAGGAATTTACTTCACAAGAATGTCAATATTAATTTAATTATGCTTCTGAAAATTCAAGAACTTGGTTAATTAACAATTAGTTTCACATTTCAATAGTCAAAGGTTAATCCCTTAACTCATTGACCCTAACAAGCAACTAAACCACCCTAATCCCGTAGGTGCAATTCAATTTCAAGTTGCATTAAGACTTAGAACCTTAAGATTGCAGAATTAGGTCTCCTTATCCCTAAGAAATCCCCAAATTCTGATTGCTAACTCAGATCGGAGAATCAAATCCAACTTTCATTGGTAATTGTTCCTCTTTGATGAATCATACGATTTTCCATTCATAGATTGCAAGAAAAATAGAATTCACAATTCAATTAATCCAAGAACTCAAAATTCAAAAGCAAGAGTCAAATTAATACATCAATTCGATTTCCATAAACTCCTAACCACAAGAAAACTACTCAGACATGGGAGAAGAGAAAGAGAAAGAAGAAGAAGAAGAAAAACTCCAAGAAGCCATTGCCGGAAGCTCCAATCCGATTCCTCTTTGTGGAAGCTTCAAGACTTGACCCCAATCTTCTCTCTCAATCTCTCTCAACGACAATCTAACAGAAAAAATGAAAAATGAATGAAAGACCCCGAGATCTGAGCTCAAAATATGTATTTATAGAAATCCCGATTCTTGGCGTTATCACTCTTGCTGATAAGAGTGGCCACGCAGAAGGTCGCGATGTTGTGCGTAATTACTTTTATGAGTAAAAGTGGTCACGCGCAACTTGCCAAGTTTAAGGACTCTTTAGAACATCCACTTTCAATGATAAAAGTGGTTACGCAGAATACTCTAAAACTTTGCCTTCTCTGGAACGCTCACTTTCGCCGGAAAGAGTGACCACGCAAAGTATACTGAAATTTTGCCTTCTCTGGAACGCTCACTTTTGCTGATAAAAGTGGTTACACCAGGGTTGCTGATTCTGAGGGTTCTCTAGAACTATCACTTTCAGTAGGAAAAGTGTTGATGCAGAGATCAAGTGGTTGCGCGTTATCACTTTTATGAGAAAAAGTATCTACCCACAACTTGCCCAGTTGAAGGCTCCCTGGAACGTTCACTTTCAGTGATAAGAGTGGTAACGCAGAGCATCCTCATATTTTCACTCTCTGGAACGATCACTTTTACTGGTAAGAGTGGTAAGGCCCAGGCTTCACTTCTTCTTTGAGCTCTGGAGTGATCACTTTCACTGATAATAGTGATCATGCCCAGCCTGCATTTCCTTGTTCTTGTGTTTTGGAGTCCAGACTTGCTACTTTCTTTTTGATGAACCTTGCTCGAATTATTCCTTCAAAAACAAGATCAAAAACTTAATTTCTAAGCTAAAATTTCATAATTTCTAAAATAACTATAAATTGAAAGAAAACTTCAAATCATTCTCTTTTTCTGAGTTTTTCTGCTTTCTTCATATATTTTCCTTATCAAATGAGTTAGAATTATGCTAAAATATCAGTAAAAATATGGATTCATCAATACTCATTGTAATATATCGATGAAATGTGCTGAAGGTTGGACACCTTCAAACTCAAATCACTCATGCAGTTTAACATACATTGAAACTAAACCACAGATGTGTAACCCCTCTTTACAAGACTACCACTTACTCCAAAAATGATTTATAGCAGAAAGCTTATTTGGAAACATTTCAACAAATGATCCAATTTGTGACAATCATGCACATTAATATTTTGGAAAATGTGATCTTGTAAGTACAACCAAACACTTAATCGTATTTCACTGAATAATCCAAGTTTTGAATCTACATGTAAAAATCGGGTTGTTAAGTCCTGTATCATCCAAGTAATATTAATTTCAAGCACCTATCCGAATTGAGATCTCCGAATCCCTTTTCACCCAAAAGTGAACTTACTGCACATAGCTCACTAAATAATTTCTTGTCTTTGTCACAATCAATAACACGAAATTATACAACATAGGATATAATTAATCTAAAAAGATCATAAGTGGGAAATTTTAATGTGATAAGAGAATGCTGGAGCATATGCCTATCATATATATAAAGTGTAAAGGATCAACATATTCACCAAATTAAATACATCTCAAAATAAGCCCAAAATACCAAGTTTGTCAAAATAAGTAAAACCCCAAAAGCAGAATCCTACTAGTAGTAACATATCCATATCTACATAAAATCATAAGCCTCTAAGGGAAGAGAGTCTTCGCTAGGGTCTTACTCAATCCCATCAGAATCAAGCGAGTCTTTGCGTGGTTGAGGTGTGGAGAGGGTGAACTATCATTGTCACTATCAATCCACCCAAAAGTGGGAGGTGGTGAACGTGAGGCTGGTGGTGGTGGAGACGGATGGCGAAAGGAAGGTTCAGCTTCATCGGTAGGCAGCAAGGGAATTCTTAGTAAGGAGCGGGGTATGGGTCGAATGGATGACTCAATGACACGCACATCCCTCCTAACGGGTTCATGATTGGTGTCAAGCCCAATATCAGAATGAAGCCGAAGGTCATAGGGGCCTTGCCTTTACTAGAGTGGGCAGAAGACTCAGAGGTTGGTGAATGGACTGGAGGTACAGTAGGAGGGGCAATAGGAAGAATCAAAGGGAAGGGCTCATTTTTGGATGTTAGTGAAAAAATGTTGGCATATACGTAGTCACTCTAGCGAGCATCCCACCCATCCTTAGTGATGGGGCCTAGGGTCAAGCGAGCCATCCCCTTGAAGACGTACCACCGGCTCTGAGGAGCGAATGTCCATGTCTCATTGCAGCCGGTCTCTATCCAAATCATTGCTTGATGGGGTTCCATCTAAGATACATAACACATAACAAGATACAATAGGGACAAACAACAAGAGGGTGAGTCCTATCACAAATGATAAAATACATAGTCACATTCATCACAGGAAAACAATTATACGAATACATGGTCTTTTACGTGAAAAATACTTATAGGAAGGAAAGTAATTATCACAATCAAGTTACCAACGCTATAATTATATTGATGAATGCAATGCATGTCCTTCCTAAATCTATTCTCCCTCAACATTCAACGTCCCTTCAATCGAGATGGTTGGAGGACTCCATTCCCTACTGTACCGCACCTTTTCATTTTTAGTTTAATTACTCAACCCTTGCAAGCAAGGTAATTCAGGAATGGGTTTACCTCAATCTTGGTAATATATGATTACATCGGGATTAGTAAGGGTTCCCACAGTGACGTGGCCCAGCAGATGCAAGCTACTCCTCGCCCTATAGGCCATCCCTTCCCTTAACTACCTCCAAGGTTCTCCATGAACATGGACACTTGCATTCCACAGTGTGCTATTCTGTAATCTCGACTCCTCTTCAACCTTCCATGTGATCCATACAACTTTCCATGAATATATATGTACACACATCTTAATTCAAAATATATATTTCTCTTAATATAACCAATCAAATGATAAATCTATATTTTACCAGTATTTTATCTTAGTTTTAATATATTTGATAAAGAAAACATGTTAGAAAAAGCTGAAAAACTCATAAAAAATAATAGAATGTTCAAAGTCTTTTCTAAATACATAGTTGTTTAGATTTTATGAATTTTCTGTGTAGAAATTAATGATTCAATCATATTTTTGTAGGAAATTCTGAACTAAGTTCATAAGGATGGAAGATCAAGAGAAAGATAGAAGAAAAGTAGTAAAAATTGGAATCAAGGAACAAGGTCTGGTGAAGCAAGAGTTGGGCGTTATCACTTTTGTTCACAAAAGTGATTGTTCTAGAGCTTAATATTAAAGGATGACCAGTGCGTTATCACTATTGCTGATGATAGTGAGCGTTCCAGAGAGCTCTCTAGCATAGCAAGCTGTTCGTTATCACTTTTGTTCACAAAAGTGATCATTCTAGAGAAGCCTCTAGAAAGCAAGCTGTGCGTTATTACTTTTGTTCACAAAAGTGATTGTTCTAGAGAGCCTTCCATCACTGCA